TATTTAAAATTTTGTGCCAAATTGTAAATAATCAAATTCTTGGATACATTATGAAATTTAAATTTTGGCTTATTCCGGGTGTTTTATTTTCTTTTAACAGTCATCTGTTTATTGACCAAACAGTCGACTGTTAACTGACTTAACAGACGCGACTTTTAAAACAGCATGTCTATTCGGATTTTTGAGGTTTGTCTGAAAGGTGATGACTGTTCGAATGGCCACGAACAAGTCTATAAATAGCCAGCCTCTCTATCAGAAAATTTACACCATTTTTATTGTAAACATTCTGTACTTTGAATCTCATTCCCCTCTCTCTCATTCTGATATTGTCTCGAAGTAAAACATATTTCGTTGAGTTCGTTGGAACTCCTGCAGAATGCAGTGCTGCTTTCGTAGGAGACGAAAATTCGTTCTATCCTGAAAAATAATTGCTGGACGCCTTTAGCACCATTGAAGGCAGCAAATTCGTTTTAAGGAAATATCATGAAGTCGGTGGGCTCGAATTACTTTTTGCATCCTGTTGATCAATTCTTTACATTCAGGTGATTCTGTCGGATTGGTTTCGAAGGAGTAACATCAAACTCTAGAAACAATAATCTTAAAACAAAATTTTCTATTATCATTTTACTCCTTCTTACCGTTGATCTTCTGATTGTGTTTCAGAAAAAGGCAACTTCTGGTACCACACTCCCGAATACGATCGGGGAAAAATCAGAAAAGTTTAATGGGTTAGATTTCAAACGCGTTGGCAGCAAAAAATACTTTTTTATCTGACAACGTTAAATCTGGCTAAATTTCTCAAAGAAGACGCGCCTTCATATACCGAGCAAAACAGTGATGCTGAAAAATTGGCTGCGATTGATGCATGGAAGCATTCTGATTTCTTGTGCAGAAATTATGTATTTAATGGATTGGATAACACATTATATAATGTGTACTGCAATGCTAAGTCCACAAAAGAATTATGGGAATTTTTGGACACAAAGTACAAAATCGAAGATGCTGACACGAAGAAATTCATTGTCGATCGTTTTTGGACTATAAAATGGTTGACAACAAGACTGTCATATCCTAAGTTCAAGAACTTCAAATCATACTTAGCGATATCCATGTCGAAGGAATGAAACTAAGTGAATCATTCCAAGTCGCTGCACTGATTGAGAAATTACCACCTTCATGGAAGGATTTCAAGAATTACCTAAAGCACAAGCGGAAGGAAATGAAATTTGAAGATATCATTGTCCGATTGAGAATAGAAGAAGACAATCGCAAAACTGAAAAAAGGAATGGTGCATCTCATTCGATGAAATCAAAAGCCAACATCGTAGAAGGAGTCTTCAAGACTAGCAAAAAGAGGAAGCACGAATTGATTCTTCAAAAACTACTAAAAAGTTTAAACGCAACTATGCAGGACATCGATCCAATGATTGTCGAAAGCCAAAGAATGTGAAGGGAAAAACTCACTAGGCCAATGTAACAGAACACGAGAACTTCACTGATAAGGTACAAGACATGAATCTTTCTGCGGTCGTCTCTGAATGCAACTTAATTGGAAATATCGTGAAATCGGTGGGCTCGAATTACTTTTTGCATCCTGTTGATCAATTCTTTACATTTAGGTGATTCTGTCGGATTGGTTTCGAAGGAGTAAGGTCAAACTCTAGAAACAACACAAATCAATGTGGATGTGTGAATAAGTCACGGGCATCTGAATTCTCAATAGTGTTCAGGTGATGTTTCTTTCAGGTTGAGTCTTGGAGACATTTCTTGATCAGTGGGTTGTGCAGCTTCATTGCATAAAATGACTCCTTGCTTCTTTATGTAGTGCCATTTTTCTTGGACAAGGTAGAAGAAGATTGTGAGAGAGATCTGAGCGGTGAAAATAATGAGCCTAGAATCAGGCTTTGTAGACCAGTATAGAATAGCCCATTTCATGAATCTACATATAAGGATAATTAGACAAATACCCATAAAACAGGGGCTTTAAGAGAAATCATATAAAAAATAACTTAAAAGTCGGTAATTTCTTCTAATTAAAGGTATAGTGACGGTTCTTTTTTTGCCTTCAAAGCAAGTAAGATGCACTTTTCTAATATTATTATCAAGAGATCTCAAGTTCAAATGCACAAATGTCTCTATAATATTGTTGTCAAATTGCTTTTTCTTTGATCATGAGCAATTATACCGAATTAACATGCCATCCATGACACTATGCTATTTGACATTATGAATTTGGTATAGAAACACCTATATGGTTGTTTATAAGAGTAAATATTACTGGGAGTTCCTAACTTTTCTTTAGAGTGACACTCATGTTTTCAATTTCAACTCAAACCTTTTTATGCGGGCTTGAAATTTTTCCAAATCAAACCAAATCAAACGATAGTTTATGATTTGGTTCAATTTTAATCCGTGGTTTACTTATCGATATTATGGTAATATATTTAATATAAGTTAACATAGAAGTTTAAACGAGAACTAATAGTGTTAAACGTTAAATTACATTCATATTTACCATGAAATCCAAGAATAAATTATTTTGAAAGTTGGTTTTTGAAAGATATTAATAGAATAAATACATTTTTCTTCATTTTTATTTACATTTTCTTGTTTGACATTCATGTTGTTATATAGTGGTTGGTAAAGGTAAAATTACATTCTGCTATTATAGTTTGGTTAAAACTCATTTCGTCTTGCTAGTGAGATGTTAAATAAGGATTGAACAGAATATATTTAGATGTACAAAGATTGATAGAGTTTCGGCTTATTGGAAATTAACGAATTTTATTTTTTAACTACTTTATGAAAGTAGAAGATAGTAATATTAGTTATGAAATTTTAACATTTTCACATAATCAATACAATTCGTCTCTCGATCCTTCCAAACCACAAATAAGTTCATTAATCATCTAGGCACAAAAATAATTATTTTTCTATCTAAACCATAATTTACAAGTGTATAATAGGTTCAAAAACAATAAATAAAAAAAGAACAACAAAAAAAATGGCTTGAATGATAATCTAATACTTACTGAAAGAGAAAAGAAAAAGAAGCGATTCAGGTAGAAATTAGCAGACTAACAGTTAAAGGTGACCGACGATTCGTTCAGCAGTAGCAAACAAGCCTCAAATGTTAGCGAAATTAGAATTCATGTTAGGGATTCTAAAACTTTGGACGTGATTTCTTGACCTAGTTTTTTTATGATTTGGATTGTTGAATATATATATATTTTTTTATTTTTTTTTCATTTCATATGATTTTGGAATAATTTTAGTTTAATTTAGATAGCATGTGAGGACATGTGTTGTGAACTTATTAAATCATTAGCTAATAATGATGAAATTAATTTACTTTCTATGATTATTTCAATAGGTTAGTTGTAATTTATATTGCTAAATTGATTTTTTTTTTCTGAAAAGTCAAAACTATAAAATTTTAAGTTAATAAAATTAATGTCTTAATTAAATTTTTTAAAAACGGTTTGGTTCGATTTTGTGCAATTTTTGAAAATTAAAACCTAAACTAAACAATTTTGAGACGATTTGGTGGAAAAAAATCACGGGTCGATGTGGACAAGGTCCAATAGTTTCAATTTAAAGGTTTCGGTTCGATTTGCGATTTCGCAATTTTTTTGTGCAGCCCTAGAATGTTAAATGGCCTTGTGACATTCACATATGGGTTGAAGCAATGTGATATGTTTTCGAACATCGAAAAATTGTTTCCTATTTGAAATTTCATACAAAAATTGAAGTGATCATTTGGACCGTATTAAAATATACGAAATCATCTTGGATATATTTATTTTTTCAATTTGACATTAGTCCATAAGTGTCGTATCATTATTCAACTTTCAAATTTATTTATTTTTTGAGCGAAAAATTGTAGGTTTTACTTTAAAGGGAAATATTTTCACCCTTTCTAGAGTTAATTGTTACAATGGTCATTGAACTTTGGTCCATATTTTTGATTGATCATTGAAGTTTAAAATGTGGAGTTTTGATTAATAAACTTAAGTTAATGTCTTCAATTGTTCATCGAATTTAGGTCCATGTCTAAGATTGCTCATTGAAGTTTAAAATATCGAGTTTTGGCCACTGAAATTTAAAATATGCCGTATGTTACTCACTAGCATAACTGTAAAACTTTAAAAATATCGAGTTTACAGTGAGTAACGTATAACATTTTTCAAAGTTCAGTGAGTAATGTATAATATTTTTCAAAATTCAGCGAGTAATGTATAACATTTTTCAAAGTTCAATAATCAATACTCGATATTTTAAACTTCAACGATCAATTTAAGACAGAGACCTAAATTCAATCACCAGTTAACTCCACTTTCTATGCTATAAAATTGGTACATCGACGCCCCCCAGGGCACATCCGAGTTGGTGGAACAATCACTTCGCTGGGACGCTGGAAGCAAGGGTGAAGAGTTCGATTCCTGGAGTTAACACTGGGAGCCATATGGAGAGGAAGCCATTGGTGTGAACAAACGCCCAGTGAGGAGAGCTCTCTTTGCGGAAGGAGTCCAAATGAGTTGTGAGAACCTGGGAGCCAATAAGGGCACATCCTGCGATTTACCTCCCTGAGCTGCTGAGGGGCCGGAGGTTCAGGGACAAGGATCTAGTCGGACGCAAGCCCGGACCCCTTGTAAAAAAAAAAAAAAAAAAAAAAAAATGGTACATCGACGATGAAGTTTCATCTTACACGATTGAACTTGAATTAGAGTAACTACTACAACTGCCTGTTTCAGCGTAGACCATCCCTTCCTTTACATCATTGCGCAAATTTCGCCCAAATACCAAAGAAAAAATAAAAATCCGAACCAAAGAATTAGATAATATGAACAAAGGCAAGAAATTTCCACGAAGTTTATGATGGTTTGAATATCTGCACGATAAAAATCTACTTTCTTCTTACTGTTTGACAATTTTACAAACGTGCGAATCACCATATGGGAATGTAGCAGCAGTCTTTGACTTCCCAATAGGTAAGTTTTTCACCCCTAAAGCAAATCCACTATCTGCTTGACTTTTGTGGGTCAGAGAGGAATTTGACGGCAAAACGAAGTGGCTTGATTCTTGATTTTGTTTTTTGGTCATTTCCAAGATTTTTAATACATTTGTCTGTTTATGGGTCCTTGTTGACTCTGTAATTTACTTATGATATTTAGTATTTTTAGATTTAGGTCTTTTTGTTTATTTTATATTCTAAGATTGATTTACATCCTTTTGTAATTTGTTTAGGATTTAGGTTTTTGAATAATTTTCTTGCCGTTGTGGCGGAGCGATTATGTCCTTGTTTGGGAATGGGAATACGATTTATGCTTACCTCTTTGCAACAGCAATTGTAATGGATGACTAACAATCATTCACACATGTTAGGGATCAATTCTCATATTGAGGTTTTTTTCCCCCTTCAGTAATTTCCCCTTCTTCCCTGTCATTGAATATTCAGAGTAATAAATCATTTTAAATTCTGTTTGTGGAATTGGAAAAGCATTTAGGGGTGATGAGTGCAGTAGAAATGGTGTTTAGGGAAATACCCGATACTCCTAGTGAATAAATATACCGTTTAATCATTAGCAAAAGGGTGAAAATTTACCTTAGTATTGCATATGGCAATTAATGTAGTACACGTATAGATTTCTTAGTTTTACAAAATTCTACCTAGACACTATTTGATGCGGACATCCATTTATTATTTATTTTCTATTTGAACTATTAGTTATATTTTATTTGGACTATTGTTTATGTTTTCGTTATTGGGCTTGTTTAGTGGATTTGGCCCAAGCCCTTCTCTTTAGGGTTTGTGTTCTGCTATTTATTTTTGTTTTGTTTCTCATTTGAGACAGTTGATGATGAATTAGAATTGAAAGTTGGTTTTGGCTTGCAGCCGGCCGTTTCCCCCCTTGCTTCTCCCTTTCCGTCCCCTGGTCTCCCCTCGTTCCCCTTTGTTTCTCTCCGGTTCCTCTCCCTTTCTTACTGTTTCTGCCTTCTTCTTCTGGTTATGCTATATTCTGCCTGTTTTAACTACTTTGCAGGAATTCATTTTCTTCCTGCTTCAAATTGGTATCAGAGCTAAAACTTGGGAATATTTCAATTGTCTTTCAGATGTTTTTCCACTCATTTACAATCCAAAACTTTTCTTCACAGTCTCTTCCCAAAACCCTTGTACAGAAACACAGACAAAATAGTTTGTTTGAGGCAGCAGTTTTCTTTTCTTTCAATTTTCCTTCTTGGTTAAAAAAAAATAATAATAAAAAAAATAAAAAAAATAGAGGCAGCTATTGTTTATACCTGGGAGAAATTTATTATTATTATTATTATTTTTCATCAGTTTTGGAAAAAACAAAAAAAAAAAAGATGTCTCGTTCATTTTATTTTGCTGCCCAAGCAAGTGTGCTACCCAACAAACCCTAGAATTCCAAGTCCAAGCCAAACCCAATTAGTTCCAATCCAATTATTCACAAATCTCCAAACCCAATACCCATCCCCATGTCACAAATAGCCCAAACCCAGTAATTGTAGGCCCATAAAATTAGTGTCTATCTTCCACGAAGCCCTCATATTAGCCCAATTCCTTGCAGCCCAAAAACTCAAATCTTAACCATCACAACAGCAAATCATAATCCATATATACAACACCAACCCAGCCTGTCACCTCCGACCCAATTACAGCAACCCAATAGCCCATACAACATTAACCCAGCCCACATTAGCTATTACCCACACAAGTCACAAACCAACCCAATTCTTTCATCTTCTTCAACACATTTTACAGATTTCTACCACCAACACCCACCCACTCAGACGCCTCTATCCCCGACGTTTCTGTCTTCCACCGACTTCATTGATCAAGTAGTTTACTGTCTCTACTACCAAGCAACCCATTCAGTTACACAGAGGTTTCTATTTCAGCATCTGTCCAATTTCAGTGAAGCCAACAATTTAGAATATGCAATGATCGTGAGTTCAGGAGATGGAGACATTTGACACAGGCAGATCAGAGGCCCAATCGTTAGCAATTCAGGCAACTAGACTACAGGGAGTTGCTATCTCCTAATTCGCATTGGTTTATACTGTTGTTTTATTTTAAAAGTGCATCACTTAGATTCTTTGTGTTGCTGTTTAGATTCTTTGTGTTGCTGTTTAGATTCTTTGTGTTGCTGTTACTATCACAACTTTGGCCTCAAACTTCACTTGACTGGAATCACTCATTGAATTGATTTGCCATTGTTTCCCCATTTATCTCACTGAATTGATGTGCCATTGTTACCTCTTTTATCTACCTGATTGGAAATCTTGACAATACCATTTGATCTTAACAAGCATTGGACCCTTGCTTTATTATTTACAAGCATCAGCACTATTAACTTGTATTTTTGGAAGGGAAAAAAAGAGAGAGAGAGAATTTCAAATTGATGTTTTAATCGTTGGTCCTTGATGCATATTGGTCTCTCTATTGCATTTCATTTAGGTAGTATTGCTTTGCATGTAGTTACATATTGGTCATCTTGTCACTTCTAACTCTAGTACCTTAAACATGAACTCTTCACAATTCAATGCACTCACCCGACAAATAGCGGCTATTCAAACTCAAATGACCGCTACTTTTGAAGAGAGTAAGGCCCTATCTGTTAGTTCGAAAAATTTTAAACACATCCCTCATTCGATTGATGTTAATAATTTTAAGGTGTCCCATAATAGACAACATCGTCGACAAGGTAATCAAAAATACTTTCGACCCGATCGTAAGGATAGGGATAGGAATAGGGATCAGATTCGTGAGCGAGAACGAGATAATTTTGAAATTCTTACTCAATGGAATGCCCTTAAACAAGGAAATCAATTAGTGATTGAGTATATCGCGCAATTTGAGGAATTTCGAATCAAATGTCATTTAATTGAGGATGAGAGCACGACTTTGAGTAGATTTAGCCAAGGTCTGAGAGATGATCTTAAGCGCGAGCTTTTCCTTCGAGGTGTCACTACTCTTGATCACGCTTACTCTTTAGCTCGAGATTATGAGTTGATTATTAGTACTCCATATGAAAAGCGTGGTCATCGTCGCTCACCCATCTCATTAGCGTCGCCTCATTATAAGTCTATAATAAAACCGTCTCCGTCTAATGTTCCTCCTATTTGGAAAAATAATTGTAAAGGTCGTGATAGTCCACAATCTCCTTTTCCATGTAGAAAGCATATTGACAATCATCTTTCGGTGTCATTGGCTCCAATTTCTCCCGTTTAATCCCTTCTAGGACCACCCCCATCTGATGTTCCTCCAATTTTGAAAAATAAGGGTAAAATTTTTGATAATCATCATTTGGCTTCATTGGCTCCACCTCCTCCCGTTAAGTCCCTTCTAGGACCTCCCCCTTCTAATGGTTCTCTAATCTTGGAAAATCAGGGTAGAATTTCTGAAGCTCCAAGGTCTTCTTCTCACTTGTTGTGCGTCAACTGTAAAGACTTTGACCACATTTCTTCCAAATGTACTAATCGAACCTTAGTCATGGAAGAACGAAAGAATGTAATAGATATGCCATTAGAAGATCTAGTCTATGAACCTAAACTTGAAGATTTTGATGACTTGGATGATAGTGAGGACACTTCTTTAGGTGGACTCCAGACTCTTCCCGAGACTTTAGATACTATACCCCTGACAACTCTCGGTCACATGTTATATGTCATACCCTTGCACAACTCAAAGAGCTTGATGATTTCACTGGCCACCATTGGAGAATCCAGTCGCCTGTGGTTAGCATTAAATCAACATTCCCCACTACTGACCAACTTCAAACTGATGGTCAAAATGAAGTCGTTAACCAAAGTCCTAGCAATTTATTCAAGTCTCTAGTCTAGAAAAATCTTAGTAATTGGGACTTGATTCCCCCAACTGTTCAAATTGCGTATAACAATTCTGTAAATCGGTCTCTAGGTTTGAATCCATTTGAAACTGTTCATAGTTATAAGTCTAGGCGGCCGTTAGACCTTATTTCCATGTCCCCACATGCTAGTGTGTCGATATCAGTTGAAGCATTTGTGCATCATCTTCATGACTTGCATATTAAGATCAATAAACAACTTCACGCAAGTAATGCATTATATAAATTTCAAACTGATTTGCATAAACAATATTTTCAATTTCACATTGGGGATTATGTTATATTGCAAGTCGGTAGTGCTGGTCCTTTTAAAGTTTTAAAGCATGTTGGTCCATATGCACATGTCATTAATTTTTCATCACATTTTGCCCACCACTCTACTTTACATATTGAAGACTTAGTTACTTACAAAGGCCTTTTTAATTTCCTTGATGATCCTTTTCTACTTACTTATGTGGATCCCCAACCTAAATAAATTACCATTTTCACTCCAATAACACATGTCACAGCACACAAAGATGTAATTGATGCTATTTTAGATAAACAGGTTGTGTTGACCAATGAGGGAGATTTTGGAGATGAGTGGCATGAATTTTTACTATTGGGAATTCAGTATCGGTATGTGATTACAAAGAAAGATTATCTTTCTTGGTTGGATCATATCCTTGAGGATAAGCTACAACTATCCTTATTATCATTTGTGGAGTTTCGGTATTTGGTCATCGAGAAAGATCGTCCCCCGTGGCATGACTTGGAGCCTTTCGCATCAGATTCAGTGCAACATTCTGCTTTATCTACTCGACGGGGTCGAGTTTTTCTCCCACCCCGGGAGAGTTGATGCGGACATCCATTTATTATTTATTTTCTATTTGAACTATTAGTTATATTTTATTTGGACTATTGTTTATGTTTTCGTTATTGGGCTTGTTTAGTGGGTTTGGCCCAAGCCCTTCTCTTTAGGGTTTGTGTTCTGCTATTTATTTTTGTTTTGTTTCTCATTTGAGACAGTTGATGATGAATTAGAATTGAAAGTTGGTTTTGGCTTGCAGCCGACCGTTTCCCCCCTTGCTTCTCCCTTTCTGTCTCCTAGTCTCCCCTCGTTCCCCCTTGTTTCTCTCCGGTTCCTCCCCCTTTCTTACTGTTTCTGCCTTCTTCTTCTTCTTCTTCTTCTGGTTATGCTATATTCTGCCTGTTCTAACTACTTTGCAGGAATTCATTTTTTTCCTGCATCACTATTGTTCTGCGTAATATAGACAAGTGATCCTTTATATCAATTTGAAATACTTAAGCTAGATACCCATTATTCTTCACCTTACATTATATTTTGGGAAACGATTTAGTTCATTGGGTTCGCAATTGCCTCAAATGGTAAAAAAACCAGTTACAGTCCACAATCAGCTATGATCAACAATAGTGATAATAATTGAGAACAAAAACAATTTCTCAGATGTTTTATGGCTCAATAATTTAGAGGTAGTAGGTGGTAATGCATGTTTATTGAATTATTTAATACTTTGGGATATGGATTTTCATTTTCCTTTCTGGAGGGTAATGTCTGATGAAAAAAATGGTTCAACAGATGGGATCTATAGATGGAACATCAGTAACGAAGCTTGAAGATGAGAGCCTCGTCAGTCCTCAGCCAATGGATCGAACGACACGCACTCTAGATGTTGCTCCTCACAGATCTTTCTTTGAAGTTGGAATACAAGAGTTTGGTTGTAAATATATATTAAATAGCACAATAAAGATTATTAAGATCATTTTGTTTTCGAGCAAAATTAACTTGCTAGCATCTTGTGGCCCATTATCAATGGTAGTTGATAAATTAACAAACCATCACGTGAGTTGCAATTTTTTGGGCTACAACATTTTTCGTCATAGAAGATGTATTTCTTTTTCTCACATAATTTCAAGGATGGGTATTCTTTCTCAGTTTATTAGGCATCATTCCACTGGCAGAACGTTTGGGCTGGACTACAGAGTAAGATTCTAAACATCAAATATAAATGCTTGCTCCTCATTTTTCAAAGAAGTAGCAGTGAAAGATCTATTTTACTAATAAGGAACAGGGACTTGTGAGCAATCTTAAGGATACCAAACGAAGATAAAGTGTTATTTTCTCCCTTTTTTCTCAAGAGGAAAATTGATTTATATTGAGTGGCTTTAGATTCACATCATTACTTGTACTTAGCTTGCATAATACAAATCTCTTTTTTCTTTTTTTTCTTTTTTTATGATAATCGAGATGGTTTTTGTTTTTTCTTTAAATGCAAGCAGCTGGCTTTCTATACCGAACCCACATGTTTTTCTTCAGTTTCCTCAAATCCTCTTTATGATATACCAATTCTTCAAATACCTTATTTGTCAGACTTGAATCTCTACATTTACTTCTCTTATTTGATGGTTTGTATTATACCAGATCTTAGTCTATTAGTAAGTAACCCATTTTCTTCTCATTTTATATTTAAACTCACTCTATATATGGCAATCATCTCAGCTTGAGTGATAGTCATAAGAAGCTATCTTTATTAGTGAGGCCTTTGTTTTTCATTTTCACTTGGTATTAATATTTTGTCAGAATTTGATCATGGAATTGGATTCTTAGTTCTCTTTTATCGTCTTCTCTGTTGAGTAATAAAATTCTTCCTCACCTCCAACTGTTGATGTAGCCATGTAGGCCAATTAACAACCATGTAAATATCATTTGTTTTTTCCCTTTAAATGCTGCCTCAAATCCAATTTTGGGGCTTGTGTAACAATTATAACTGAGCCATGTTTTGGTGGCTTGTTTTTTAGTGGTGATAAAATATGAAATTGAGAATTTTGATGTAGATGTACCTATCAAAAAAGAATTTTGATGTAGCTGTGTGTGAAAATGCAGCCATTTAGTTCTACAAAGGTTTCAAAGGTGCTAACGGGTGAAGAGGATTTGCCACAAAAAAAATGCCTAAAAATGCTAGATGGGGTGGCTAAGAAAAATTGGCTGCTTCATTATGGCTTAAGTTGGACGGTCTATACATGGAGAAACCCCTTTCCAGCAGATTGTATTCGAAGGAACATTAATGTACCAATCAGAAGACACAAGATACACCTATTATGTTCCATCTAGACAACTTTAATGAGATTATTCTGAATGTGAAAATGTGAAAGTTGAAGATGAGGATCAGACTTTAATTTTTTTGTTCTTTCTACCTCCCTTGTTAAGATCACTTTGTTGATATGATTCTGTATATGAAAGAAAATCGTTTGTTTATGGTATAAAATGTTAACCCATCTTTTTACACTATAGATTGGAAGAACTTTTTTTGGGAAAAATGGGATAATAGTTCATGAATGATTTAGTTGTAAGAGGAAGGGTAAAAGAAAATAACTCAGTGATAAGAGACAAGTTTAGATCTAATTCAAGTTTAAAAGGGTAAGTGCAACAATTCTCACAAAGAATCCCTTTGGAAAATTGATTCTCTCATAGTCATCAATGAAAGAGAGCGTAATGGTTAATCTTCAGATATTAATGATGCGACTCTTGTTGATTTGTGGTTTAATTTGATAACCTTGAAACTATGTTAACTGTATTTGATGTTTGTTTATGCAGTTGGGGGTCTTTTAAATGCTACATTTGGAAATGCAACAGAGTTGATAATCTCAATGCATGCAATGAAAAGTGGCATGTTACACGTCATTCAATAGTCATCATTGGGATCAATTCTTTCGAACATGCTGTTGGTCCTCGATTGTGCTTTTTTGCTGGTGGAATTGTGCATTATAGGAAGGAGCAGGTGTTTAATAAGGTAGGTGAAATGACCAGTCATTATAGTTTTCCATTCTGGAAGAGATGAACTTCTTGAAATTTTTTCTGTTGTTCAACTATCTAACATTCAGTTAACTAAATACAAGAACAATTTTTATCTCATGTTTTAGGCATCTGCGGTGATGAATTCGGGATTACTCTTGATGGCAGTGATGGGTCTCTTGTTCCCAGCTGTCCTCTACTTCATGCACACAAAGTTGCATTTTGGCAAGTCTGAGCTCGTGCTTTCAAGGTTTAGTAGTTGCATTATGCTTATAGCATATGGCGCATACCTTTTTTTCCAGCTAACAAGCGAAAAGACCCTCTATTCCCCTATAAATTAGGTTGGTCATTTTATCATTGTTCTCTCCACTGTCTGTAATGTTGAAATCATTCCTTGCGCTTCTTTTAATTTTGCGAGGATATTGGTACTGCTGTGCATCATGAATTTGAAATTAATTTTTAGTGTCTTTTAACTCCATCAAGATTCATTGTGACGAATGTTAGATTAAGGACTGCTGCACCTTATAATCACAAATCTCCTCTGCACAGCAGAACATTCTGTATATTTGATGACAATATAGGAAGGACGAGATTAGCTTGTTCTAGCTTATGTGATGTTTTAGGTATAGCTTAGCACCATGATCAAGTTGCTTTTCCGATATCGAACTCTAGATTCTACCCTTCTTCTATTGTAACACTTCCGATGAAGTTCTGCAGTACGAGGACCATAGTCTATTTTGTTACAAAAAATTTCCAAATACCTGGAAATTGTTTGCATTTTTTTCTTTTCTGAATCAAGTTCATCTTAAGTTCAAACATTTCACGGCTTGTTAAGAATGCTGGATTTTGTCTATGGTTGGTTTAACTGGAAAATAATGGAAATTCAGGAAGGGACTCCAACGGATGGAGGCTCAGATGATGATGAACTTCCAAATATCTCAAAGTAGGAATTTGTTACGTGGTTATTTATACTAACTTCTCTGATATATGTCCTGTCAGAATACCTGGTTAACGCCATAGAGGTAACATTTTATAACGTAAACTTTTGGTTATCATGTTTAAAATATGTGATGACAAAGATTTTCACATGCAATATCCACAAGGTATTTACCGGAAAAAGAATTACCTGTTCTGTCAGCACGAATTGCCTCTTATACCATCATTTATCAATCATATCTCACTCTCTCTTCCGTATGTGGGCTCACAAAGTTTTTATCAAGATATTGTTATATAAATTATGGGGTATGAGGATAGGAGATATCATGTCATCCTAGTGATGTACTCTAAAAGGTAAATTGTTATTTTTCAGGGGGCATCTGCTGCAATGAACATTCCAGTGGCATTTACTAGTGTTATACTGTTATCAATTGTTGGGAATGCTGCAGAACATGTAGACGCTATTATGTTTGCAGTGAAAGACAAGCTTGTACGTGTTTATTTTGCTGTTTTTTATACCGTACATTATGGGTTAGATCATGGTTTAAATTAGTTTGTTCATGATCAGGATATTTCTTTGGGAGTGGCAATAGGCTCATTAACTCAAATAGCCATGTTTGGGGTATGTTTTGAATAAATAAATATGCTTGTTGCCAAATGGCCATTTTTAGAATCTAATGTTTGCAAGTTTAAATTTTGATTGTTATACCATATTCTTGCTTTCCCGGGCATGCTAAATAGGCTTGAATTCCATTTGTGGTATAAAACAAGGATAAATTTTTCCCTTCTAAATCAACATGTTCTAATATGAACTGAATCACAGTTATTTAACTCTACTATAGATCGCAGTTCTCTAGTTGACTGTCAAATCAATGTTCTCCAGAAATTCTATATGGATGCATTTTAAGACTCACCAGTTTTGTGTGTGTGGTGTCCATTATTGGACAGACAATTCTTGGCTTGATGCTACACAACTTCCTTTAGACACTTGAGTGATTGTGCATGGGTGGTTGTCCTATAGTTACTGTTTTGTGTGGAATTATGATTGTAAGACATGCTAATGCATTCAATGACAATTATTAGTTTTCCCTTTTGATAAGTGATTGAAAGCTTATACATTTGGAGTATTTCAATAAGGTTCCCTTAAAAAATATATATGTGATTGGCATGGCACATTCATTTTAAGTCATGCGACCTTTATTTTTTCATGATAAGATGATATAAATATTCATATAATGCCATTCTTTAGGCATACAATGACAACATGAATGTGGACTTTTTTGGCAAAACTTCGCTTTTAGAATTTTATTATTGCCAACATGATTCAAAAGACATTTAATTCCACTTCCATGCCTCTCTCTCTCCACTTATATTTTTTTGGTTTTCTAGACTCGACATTCTTATCCTTCCCCACCTTTTCAGCACCATCTACACCTAGAATCTATGAAGAAACATTAGTTTAAACTTTTAGAAGATCACTCTTTGGTTTATAAAGTAGTTCACCAATAATGGCACAGTGTTGGAAAATTCCTCCATTAATTTAAGTTGTTTCTGAGTACATTCTTTGTGTTTTGTGAATTAGTTCGTGTTTCTCTGTGATTTACCCACTTAATACCAGTTGTGGTGTTGCAATTGTCACAGATACCCTTCTGTGTGATAGTTGGATGGATCATGGGGCGCCCTATGGAGTTGAATTTTCAACTTTTCGAGACTGCTACACTCTTTATGACTGTTCTTGTTGTAAAGCCCTGAAAATTTTATAGAATATAATTAATTGTTTTAAATTCTCATTTCTTTGAGTCAAATAATTAGATTTAATGGAGCAAGTTTTAGTATATCAATATTAGACTCTTTTTTGTAACTTGTAATTAATTAGAAATTTTTAACCAAAAAAAAAAAAAAGGTTAATCAAAATAGTTAGGCCCAAAAATATAAAGTTCAAAGAATGTCCTTTATTATAAAATTAACTAGGTTGACCTTTTTGGAATTCATTAGTTGTAAAAACGTGTGCCTTTATAAAAATTGAATGATTGAGTAACTTTATGCCATTTTATAGCAATTGAGTGTCCATATGCTTGATAGCAGAATTTTAGGTGGCTCACGTGGATATCTACATGGAATGATTATTCTATACCTTAAATAACTTGTAGTGGCCTTCATGTTGCAAGTGAGATCCTGAGATGCATGTTTCTCAATTTTTTGTCAATGAGAGTATCACCATGTTAACATGTTTGATAAGGTGGATTAAACAATTCAGACAAAAATAAAGAAGCAAAAATGTTTATTATTGGCTATTGTATTCGTTACAATCTAATAATGCATACCAAACGTGTACACTGCAAATTCATTTAGTCTTGACGTATGATTTCATGTTTGCAGGAGGGAACATCGAATTACTTCAAAGGGCTGATGCTCCTACTCTGTTATCTGTTAGTTGCTGCAAGTTTTTTTTGTACATATTCTTTTACCAAGCTGTCGTTGTCTACTTTTATCAATATTACC